AAAAAAAAATGAACATACTCTGTTGCCAAAGCTTAAGGAAAACAAACACAACATTGCACTGCTAGAAGGAGTACAAAGTGGTATGGCCCTTAGAAAGAACTTGGCAATACATAGTAAAAATATATACTCATTTGCTTATTTAACCCAGCATTTCCACAGATACACTAGCAAAAAAACACATACCTACTATGCTCAAGGCTGTCCTTTGCAGGACTATTTGTAATAGCAGAAGACTAGAAACAGATTGAACAAATGGAGAACAAATAACAAGATGGTAATTATAAACCCAACCATATTTACTGATAATTACACTCAGTGTAAATTTCCTGTAAATTTGGATCCAGTCAAAAGCTTAGATGGTTCCTCATACCTATTGAATAAGATGGATTGAAAGATTCAAAGACTGATTTATCCTTCTATTATTTCTTTATCTCTTAATATAAAGAGATTATTGTATCTTCCCCTTCAAAAGAAGGGTAACATACATATTTTTCTCCTCCCTGCTTTTTACTTAATATTTCCATACTATTATACAGATATTCCTTACTCCTTTTTATAGCTGTAAAAAACTCCATTATGTGACTGTGTTTTAGTTTGTAAGATAATTTCTAATGAGAAATCTAACAATCTTAATTAACTTTTGTTCCTCTGCACCTGTCTTTTTTTCTCTGCTTTTACGATTTTCTCTTTAATACTGATTTTCAGCAGTTTGATTATGATTTGCTTTGATTTGTTTTCTCTCTGTTTCTTCTGCTTGGAGTTTAATATCTTGGTTCTTGGGTTTATAGCTGTCATTAAATCTGGAAAATCTTCAGCCAGTCTTTCTTCCAGTTGTTTTCCTGTTAGATCACTCTAACTGGGGATCACTTCTATTTCTGTGTCTTCAGGTGTGTATTTTCTGCCTCAGTGTCTCATGTACTCTTCATCTCCTCTGACCTTTTTTTTTTTTTTAATCTCTAGAAATTCCATTTCGGTCTTTTAATATCTTCCATTTCCTTTTCATGTTCATGTTTTCCTCTATGTTCATAAGCAGAGAGATCATATTTACAATATATTTTAATGAATTGGTTGGGTAATTCCATCATCTGTGTCATTTCTGGGTGTACTTTTAGTAATTAACCTTTCTCATAATAATGGATCATATTTTCTGGCTTCTTTACACACCTGATAATTTTTTATTGGATGCTGAATATTTTGACTTTTATGTTACTGGTGGTTGAATTTTGTAGTATTTGATCACATAGTGTTCAGTTTTGTGCTGGTCTGCAGTTAAAGCTTTCAGGATTAGTTTGATCCTTTCAACATATGCCTTTTAAACTTCTTGAGGATGGGGCTAGATCAGTCTTCAGGCAGGGTTTCTGAATCTCAGCACTATTGATATTCTGCAGCACATGCTTCAGTTTGGTGGCAAGCTGTTCTGCAGTGGTAGGGTATTTAGCAGTGTTCTTGGCTCCGACCCATTAGATGTCAGTAGCACTTCCCAGTCATGACAATCACAAACGTCTTCAGATGCTGCCAAATATTACCTGATGAGGTCAGTCGCCCTGGTTGAGACCCACTCGTCCGGAGTTCGTTTCTCCTCACTACTAAGGGGTGCCGTCTGAGTTCTACTTGATGCTCCATGTGGTCTCTCCACTGTGGCTGGTGAGAAATTAAACTTCCCAGCCCCCTGTGTAAGCTCCGGAAATTGGCCTATGCGGGTAGTTCTTTCTTTAGCCTTGTGGAGTTCTATACCATACAAGTGCAGATGAGATTCAGCCAGGTATTGAAAGGACTCTACAGCGAACCTCCAGAGCTTTCTCCCTGTGTAGTTACTTCTCTTCATAATCTGTCGCACACATTCTAGCCACCTTGGTCTCCCTAACTGCAGTCTCCAACTTCTCAACTCAACTCAGCAAGAGCACTAGGTTCTGTCTCTCCCAGCGCTGTGGCCTGGAATCTGCTCCGGGCAGTGAGCTGGAGCTCTCCTGTTTCTGACTCCCTTTGCTCTGCCTGTGGCAGCCGTGCAGGCTTTTACTGCCTGTGTTCACTGTCTAAAAGCAGTTCCCTATGTTTTTTCTAGTTTTCTACCTTCTCAAGGTGGAAGAGCCATTCCCACAGCAGTTTATATGTCATAGGTGGAAACAGAAGGTACACCTCTCATCTCATGTTTTTTTGTGTGGAGTACTTACATTACTGTTCAGTGAAAATTTTTCTAATTTCCATTTTAATTTCTTCTCAGATCCATGGGTTGTTTAAGATTGCATATTTCTTTGGCCAGTTTTTTTCCCGTAAGATTCTGATCACTTAATTTCTTGCTATCTTTTTTTTTTGGTATTTTTTTAATCGAAGTATTGTTGATGAATATATTGTCTTATATGATTTCAAGTATACAACACAGTGGTTTAACACAACCATATAATTAAATTCTAACCCCCAACTAGTGCAGTTGCTATCTTGAAGACATTACAGAATCATTGACTGTATTCTCCATGCTATACTATCACCGTGACCAAACTATATTATGATTGAAAAATATTGTACCCCTTCATCCCTTTCACCTCCCTGCCAACCAACCCCAACTCCTATCCATGGCAACTAACAGTCACTTCTGTGTCTGTAAGTTTACTGCTATTTTGTTTTGTTTTGTTTTTAGATTCCACAAATAAGTGAAATCATACAGCATTAGTCTTTCTCCACCTGGCTTATTTCACTTAGCATAATATCTTGTAGGTCCATCCATATTGTTGCAAATGGCAGGATTTCTTTTTTTCTTTATGACTAAATAAAACTCCATTGTGTATATGTACCACATCTTCTTTATTCATCTATTTATGGACATTTAGATTGCTTCCCATATCTTGGCTATTGTAAATAATGTGGCAGTAAATGTAGGCATGCATGTATCTTTTTGAATTAGGGATTTTGTTTTCTTCGGGTAAATTCCTAGAAGTCCAATTACTGGATCAAATGATATTTCTATTTTTAGTTTTTTGAGGAACCTCTATACTACTTTCCACAGTGGCTGCACCAATTTACAATCCCACCAACAGTGTAGGAGGGTTCCCATTTCTCCACATCCTCCTCAACACTTATTATTTCTTGTCTTTTGGTTGGTGGCCATTCTAACTGGTATGAAGTGACATCTCTGGCTTTGATTTGCATTTCCCTGATATTAAGCAAGGTGGAGCATCTTTTCATGTGCCTGTTGGCCATTTGTTTTTCTTCTTTGGAGAGATGTCTGTTCAGGTCCTCTACCTGTTTTTTAATTGGATTATTTGGTATATTTTGGTGTTGAGGCATATGAGTTCTTTATAAATTTTTAATGCTAACCCCTTACAGGATAAATCATTTATGAATATATTCTCCCATACTGTAGGTTGCCATTTTGTTCAAGTGATGGTGTCCTTGGCTGTACAGAAGCTTTTTAACTTGATGTAGTCCCACTTGTTCATTTTTTTTTTTTTTCCCTTTCCCAAGGAGATGTGTCCAGGAAAAAATTGCTCATGCTTAAACATTCAAGAGATTTTTGCCTCTGTTTTCTTCTAAGAGTTTTATGGCTTCATGTCCTTCATTTAGGTCAGTTTACTTTTTGTGTATGGAGTTAGATGATAATCCAGTT